GGGAATGAAGTCAATGGAATTGTAGTAGATAAGCATGATATCGGGGGTGGGAGGGTGGTAGATGGGGGAGAGGGGTTGCTTCTGTGTGAAGGGTAAAAAGGATAACTATTGCATTGTTCTGTACACCTGAAACTAACAATAAAAAATAAAAAAATAAAATGTTGAGAGGTTGAACAAAACATTTTCTGCTCTCTGACTAGTAAAGAGAGATTTGATATAGATTGTCAGACTAGGATATATGAAAATGGGTGTTGGTTTAATATTTAATAGTAATTTGGTTCCAGTCATGGTAGTCCCTGATGTGTATTAAAACCATCAGTTTTCTTACAGAAAAAATTGAAGTAGGACTACCCTTGTTCCTAGTATCATTATAAGACAGTACAACTCCTTTGGAAAGCAAATAAGGCTGTAAGAAGCAATCACAAAGATATTTTGCTGATTTGGGTTTATCTTTTGGCTGTGCCATGTAGTAACTTTAAGACTTTGGGCTTTTGACTTAAGTCACATCCCTGAGCCTTGGTTTCTTCATTTGTGAATAAAAGTCATTAATAACGAAAATATCTTGAAGGGATGTAGAGATTAAATGACAGATTTATAAAGTAACTAGCACAATTCATGGCACACAAATAGGTGATCCACAAATGTTAATTCTATTCCAAATTCTATTTCTAAATGATCCTAGAGAGAAAGTACTAGAAAGATGATGTATGTGTTCCAGATGAACTTGCATTTCTAGTTGTAGTCTCATGGAACATTAATAATGATGACATGGTAAGCTAGCTCTATCCTCTTCTCAAATAAACTCATGTAGTCTAGATATTTTATTGGCCATGAGGTTGCCTCATTTTGAATTTCACACATTCTGGGGAGAGTACCTAAGTGGGTAATACTTTCTAAGAGAAGGCTGTAGTGATTTGAAGTACTTAATGTTGGGGATAGTTGCTTGTAGCGTCGTTGTCATATCAGGACAATGATGCTACACTGACAGAAGCATCAGACAGTTTGAGAATGTGAACTTTCTGTATTAGCAAAAGACATGGGTACTCAGCAGTCAACACAGCATACTTCCAGATAGAAGTAAGGATTCTTGGGTCCTCGACTTATATCTGCTGATGACACCCTCCATCCAGGAACTTTGGATACGTGTCTGCCAGCTTTTACCAGGAGCAAGTTGGAGCAGGTAATCCAAGCACATCCTTGAGTGTTCACTGTGGGACTTGATGAATTGAAAGACCGTTTCCTAGGTATAGCATCTTTCAGCAGGCCCAGTCATCAGGGCTGCCTAGGGTTCATTCCTGTGCTGATGTTTGGTGAGTCCATATGAGTGCAACAGAATAGAATAAGGCAGTGAGCTAGGGATGCACAGATGAGAGGAAGTGCAGATTTGGGGTTATCTCAAATTTGATTATTCAAGATCAACAAGTTGGATGTTCTTTCATTGTATATAGAAGATTCCTAGTCTGTACTGTCATTGAAAATGGGACATGTTTAAATAATAGGATGTCAATGTATTAAGTTGGAAAAGAAGATCCTTGCTAGTTATGTTTATTTCTCTACCTTCCAAAACATGCACATCTGTACACAAACACACACATTAAACTTATAAATTCTTAACTTGATGTCTTTCTTTTCCCCTTGAGTATTAGTGGCTTTTGATAGAAAAAAAAAATCTCATTCCTGCGTTTTGAACTGTCCAAATTGTCAGTAACTGTCCTATCAATCCACACCTTATCTGGTATTTGTGACTTTAGTGGTAATAAAAGAGATCTGAGCAGCCTTTTCTCCCATACTGAATAATCAAATTGAGGGTCGGCCGAGTGGTGCAGTTGGTTAGGAGTTGGCTTGGGACGCCAGCTCTGAGCAGCAGGGCCCTGTTTCGGATCCCACAAAGAGGGCCAGTGATGCTTCGCCCTCTACAGCTAAGATGGTGAACAACAGCTTGACCTGGAGCTGGGCTGCCGGGAGCTACCGTGAGTGGCTGGCAACCGGCGTGCACTTTCATGAGCTGCCGTGAGTTGCCATCCAGTGGCTGGCGATTGATCTGCCTCACCCAGGAAGAGCACAATGAAAATACCAACATGGGCCAGTGAAGTGATGTCCTCCACAACTATAGACTGAAGAACAAAAGGACAGCAACTTGTCTATTCCCCTCCCCCGATTCCCCAATAAAATCTTTAAAAAAATAAAATGAATTGAATAGGAAGGGAACAGGTTAGTGGAAACTAGAATGGGGTGGGAAGACTTGTTCTCTACCACTAGTTTTGTGACTTCTTTATGTTGGTTTGCTCTAGGAAGTGAATTTTTACTTGTCCATTTTACAAGGTCATTGTTAAGATTAAATGATATAAGTGATGTGTATATTAAAGATCTTTAAAAAGTTAAAATGCTGTGTGAATGCAGATCATTATTCTTTGTTGCCTGTCACCTGTTTAAATTTCAGATAGGTTGTGGAATAAGTGATCTTTAATCTCTTTGGGAGATTGCTTGTCTACTCTTATTTTTTTAGAAACTGAACCTCTATAGGATAACTTGAGGAAAAACCCTTGGGATGATTTGAGTTTACCTCCATTCCTTGTTTTCTTTTGTCATTCTCGTTAAAGATTTTCTATAGCATGGGAAGCTAGCTGGCAGCTTCTAATGGGAACATGGAGCCTAAAAGCCTGAACATCCTTGGTATCCTTTATGGTTCATTAAGAACAAAGCATGTTTGAACCAGTCTCCCAGTTATCCAGACTCAAATTTTAGCTTTCTTTTTCCCTTTAACTTTTTATTATGGGAAATTTCAGTTATATAGAAACAAAAATAGAATAGTATAATGAATGCCGTATATCCATCATCCGGCTTCAAAAATTATCAACTCATAGCTAGTCTTGTTTCATTTATGACCTCACACTCAACTGGCTTACTTTGAAGCAAATAGCAAATAACATAATTTTGTCTATAAATATTTCCATATATATCTCTATAAAGTAAGGACTCTTTGAAAATATATGAACACCACACCTTTATCACTTTTTCAGTATCATCAAATACTCAGTTAATGTTCAAATTACTTTGAGCGCTTCACTTTTTTTTTTTTTTAAAGATTTTATTGGGGAATTGGGGAAGGAGAACAGACAAGTTGCTGTCCTTTTGTTCTTCAGTCTAGTTGTGGAGGACGTC